GAGAGAGAGAGAGAGAGAGAGAGAGAGAGAGAGAGAGAGAGAGAATCTCACCATGCGTCTTGTCTCTCACTGTTTCCTTGATTTTTGTTCCTCTCTCCATCAATCTTATTCTTTTTCACGCACGCAAATAAAGAGAGAGAGAGAGAGAGAGAGAGAGATCTTTTGTGTTGCGGTGCTGTTTAGGAGATTCGGCTGCCTCCTATACGTCGATTTTCGTCTCTGTCGTTCGCTCGTGCTGGCTCGCTCGCTCGCCGACGGCCGTTGATCTCACAGGAAGTCTGCTGGAGAGAACTGATTGCCAGATCAGATTGCCACGTGTTGCTGTCTCTTGTTCCCGCCCTTTTTTGTTGACTATCGAGATGCGTTGAGTCAACCATTCATTCATTCATGTGACTGGATTTTTTTATCTTTTTTTTCTTTTTTCGGATGACTAGATTTCTCAAATTTCTAGTACCTCCAAGTCCGGACGGGGGGGACTGTTCTCCCTGTATGTGACTTGGACGCTACCTTCTTCCCCCGAATACAACATTATAGCTGTATCTAGACTGAAAGATGCCTCAAATACATCTATAATGATCCGTACGTTCTATTCGGGGAAAGAAGGTAGTGTGCACCTGGCCAGGAAGGGTAGGGAGGGGGAGGAAAATTAAATTTGAATTTAAGGGGCTTCGATTTGATCATTGGATGGTCTATCCTCTCTAGAGGGGTATGCATCCAGATTCCAGACCCAGATTACATGCAATGTACGATAGACTGGGCCGCCTATATCGTCTAGCCTGAGAGATTGCCTTAATTACTTCTCTCCGATAGAAAAGGCAAGAAGGTTCTAGACTGAAAGTTGCTCGAAATACAGCACTGTATGTAGACTGAAAGTGGCACCAAATACAGCCATAAGGACTGACAGTGTGCGTTCTATTCGTGGAAAAGACCGACCGGGTAAGAAGCTTCATTGCTGCCTTGTCTTGGTTGGCCCCCCCTGATTGGTTCCCCGGCTCGATTGCCTCCCCTATTGATTCTCTACGTTGATTGCCAAACAGTCTTCAGCAACTTAATGGCGTACTACACCCTTCAGCCGAGTAGAACGCCCGGTCATTATGGCTGTATGTAGACGGAAAGTTCCACCATATACAGCTGCCTGTATGATGACCTGGCGTTCTATTCGAATGACGACGGTAGTCTGTTGATGGCCTGTGAGTCGTCTCTCATTTTATGCGATAACGCGATCGATCGATGTATCCCATCGTCCTCGTTCGCTGCGTTTTCTTGTGCTTATTCATAGAGAGTCTCCCTTTTCCAAGGGTACATGACATGTTCCCCTTGTGACCAGCGCTGCTATTCTGAGAATCAACTTCTTCGCTGATTTGTCTTGTTTTTTTTTTTTTTTTTGGTTTGTTGGAAGATTCGCTGCTTTGTCTTGTGCTTCCGATCTCTCCCTTTGTCTTCGGAGAGGATTTGAGCCGTCAACCTTTTGGCGCCACACAAAGTGAATGATACCCGTGCGACCGACCGACCAGTCAGACTGGTGCTCTGTCATCTGTTTTTATCATTTGGAAAGGGGGTCATCTTTTTTTTTCATTTGGAAGGGGGGACGGTGGGTGGATGGGGGTCATCTTTTTTCTTAGTATTTGGAAGGGGGGTCCCCTTTTTTTTTTCCATTTGGAAGGTAGGGGGGGGACGGTGGGTGGACGGGGGAAAGGGGAGGGCGGGGAGGTTG